AGCGTTCAGTATTCACAAACAAACAAAACCAAAAGTTCTAGTGATTTTGTTTCTTCTTCAACTTCGGTTTTTATTAGCACTTTAGCTTCATTTTCTCATAGACTCCAAGTCAGTGTCAAAACCTAGGTGAGACGGCCATTGAAGCCAATGGTAAAGTTCCCACTTAAATTAAGGGGTTTAGCTCAAGTCTTGCTGACAGCCTAAGAACATCCATCATCATCGGTTACTTGTATTTGAGTACCAATACGAAGCGAATTTTACAGGAGAATAAGCAAAGCAGTGGATTCAAAATGTGAAGCATTACTTCAGTATTCAGTGTTATACCCAAATTCAAATGAAATTGATGCCACTGTACTACAAATGAATCAGGAAACAGATACCATGAAAGCTATGGTAAAACTAGAATGATTTCTTTCTTTTCCTGTGACCAGAACAATGGAAACTGGCCCCATATTTGAAGTGTTCTGAAGATTTGCATGTGTTAAGCCCTATTTTAAACTCCCAGCCTGTTTGTCCTACATTTATTTATTAGAGAAAAACACCCAATGCTGGTATCTCATTACTCCACATCTATACCTTACTAGTAGTTGCAAAAGCAGTTCTCCTAACATTAATCTTCTCGGTCATTAAAAGTGTGTGCAGGTACATTGAATATTTTTTAGGTAAGCAATCAGAAATAATGGCATATTGCTGTCTCAGGTAAAAGTTACATACTTGTTCTGAGAATTTTTCCTGGGCTGTTGAAGACCGTGGACAGCATTTTCTAGCTGGGTTATGTTACTTTACATACCTCTCATTTTTCAGTACAATATCAGATAATGAACAGATACATGTAGGTTTGATGAGTAGTTGTCAAATATCAAATTTTGTAGAAGTAAATTCTCCTCATATTTTGGAAAAAAAAAGGAAAAAAAAGGAAAAAAAAAAAAGGATACCACTGCTTAGAGGAAAGCCTGGAAGTGAAAGTGAAAAGAGTTGTTTTGTTGAGCTGTAAACAATGGTAAACAATGACACCTAATAAAACAGCAAGAAGACTAAGGGATACCTGCAGCAGGAAGAATCAACAAGCACCTCAGATACCTCCGACTCTTTTGTGCTGTACCAAGAAGTTCCACCAAAAAGTTTAATAAGTGTCAGTTCACTTTAGAAACAGAGTCACAGAACATTATTTGTACTAAATAAGTCCTATTCTCTTTCTGCATCATCAGTACCGAGGATAATTGCAGGAGAAATTCAGGACACTGAAAGAACTAAGCTAACTACTCCAGATGCAACTACCTTTCTATATCTACAAATCCCTTGCTTAAACACATGGTTGCCTGAATTTGAAGCGGAAGTGTTTCAGGACCAAACAAAACCCACCAGTTTTGTCTAATACCCCAGAGTACTGAATGAATACATTAAAAGTATGTCAATTAATATAAAAGTTGGTACACAGTTCAGCAGACCAAGGAGAAGCTGTGGAAAGGAACAGGAAAAGACAGATGCAAACAAAATATGTCTCTTGATTCTACTTTCAGCAACATTAGGGAATGCGGATAAAGAAAAGTCAGAATTTTAGAGTCTCATTGGACCACCTTAGATGTTAACACAGAAAAATAAAATTTCTGATTGTTCTCCTCTTTCCCTGAGGATTACCTTCTTTTAGGACAATAGGCCCTTACACAAAATTCAAAACCAACTCTGAATCTCAAGGTAGCATTTTCAAACAGTGAAATATTTTATGAACAAGTGCTGCTAAAGGAATCTTTTGACAACAATAAAAATATCTTCTTCATGCACAAGATGAATACAATAAAGTCTGTCACCATTTAGGAAATATATGTCAGAAAGGCCAGTTTCCATGTCTCAGTTCTCCCTTTATTCCTCCAAGAACATGTTCAAACAAGAATGACAAACCGTTCAGATTTTGTGTTTGAATCACATTACAGGGCAAACAAGCTCTCTGCTGAGTACAAAACCCCTTGCATTTTATTTAGTGCTACTTAGCATTTTAATTAGCATTGTCTTTTACCTCGAATTTTTGGCATATAAACTACTTTAGAGCTAGAATAAAATTTTAAGAGGTAAAGCCCTACCTGCTCCAAGAAGATGAAACTGAAACCATCTGGTAGGTGAAATAATTGGGGGGGCATGAGACTTATTTTGTGCTCTTTCTATCTCAGACTGTAGGGAAAGTGCAAAGGGAATAGTACCCAGGAAAGAAGAGACAACTGAAAAATTACCTTGCCTATGAACTTTCCTGAGTATGGAGAAATCTGTAGTGGAAGGGTGGTGATTACTGGCACCTAAGCTATGCCATTATTAACACTCTCCAGAACCATGAGGTAACAACCTAATTTAGCATCCATTTTCCAGTAGTTGTTCTAACTACCTGCAAGCAACTCCTGAGCCCTGGCATCCCTTAGACCTAGGACCTCAACAGCACGCTTTCCTAAGGGATTAACAGAATTTAGTTACAGTGGAAGACATGTGGTGGGGACATTATAATTAAAGCACATTACTAAATTTTTAGCTGGTAGAGTGACAGCTCTTGCCAGTACTGAGGAGACAAGAAGGTACAAATGCTTAGAAGAACAAGTTAAGAGCAATGAACAGTTCAGGGGGAAAAAAAGGGAACTGAAAACCATGAAGAACATACACAAAAGTGTTTTGATCACTATCTCCAAAGGCAGAAATATAAGGAACTAGGGACAAACACTGTAATGAAAAGTGATTGAAGATGATGATTCATATTAAGAGAGATGGGAAATCTTGTGAGTGCATGGTCCTGAAGAAAGGCCAAAAAAAAAAATCACTCCAAAGGAAAAAATAATCCTCATATAGTCAATAACCCCTTGGCAAATAATTTTTATTATAAGGGAAAAATCTCTTTCCCAGATGCGTAATCTGTCAAAATCCCTGTCACAACTATCACAAAGGCTAAGAGCTTAATAGGATTCTACAGAAGAGTATCATAAATACAGACACTATTATCTTTAAGCAAAGGTAAATAATGATAACCCATGCTCATCTTCATTTCTCAGAACTTAAATCAACGGTCAAATGAAAGCAAATCTCACAGTACTTTCACTGTGCAACAGAGAGCAGTGAAGAGGTCTCCTATCAAGCACTGATCCAAGCTGGCCTTGCTGATGGCCAGGGCACACCAGCACAAAAAAAAACAGGGCCAGAGCAGTTCTCAGCTATAATTGTGAAGGAAGTGCTTATACCCTGAAGCACCAGGCATCAACACTACTCCCAGTCCTGGATCTAGTTCAGTCAATTGAACTTGTCTGATCTTAGCCACAGTCTATGCATCCCTGGTAAAGATGCACACACTATTCATTAATTCAGCTTTGTACTAATCTCTGAAGTTGCTGATATTGACCACTGCCAAAGCAAAGATCATTTGAACACCTACTAGTTGCTTGGCATTACACTGTAAGCAATTTCCAAGGGCACATGTAATAAATACTTTCGTGAGTGCATAGACCTAAGCAAAGAACCATCCTGTGTCTTCTAGGAAACTGTTTATCTTTGCAGAAAAGTTTGCAATTTCCTGTGCATGAGTCAACTGATGGTCTCTGAGCCCAGTTCCTTCCCATACATACACACAGAGTATAGACCCACTGCTTTCATTCCACTAAAAAACTGCCAAGAAGCTTCAATCTGAAGCTACATATCAGGCACAGTCAGAAATCGCAAACAGTACCTTCTGAAACCAAAATGGACAACTCTAATGAGCCCACAACTTAAAGTCTGAAAGATATACTGAGGAAAAGGTTATTAAATACTGAAGAGGAGATCTGAAATGCTATTTTGAAAACACTGATCTGATATAGCCAGACTGTGTGTAGACACAGTCTGGGCAGGTTTGAAAGCCTTATAGTATACCTAAGCTTACCTGCTCAAGTACAAGGCAGCAGGGACATCCAGCTAGGTCACTCCATCTCAGTTGGGGTCTCTCTACCCCAGTTTTCAAAAGAATATCCTTGATGTTCATGTGCATCCAAAATTAGGTTAAGGTCTGAGTACCCATCCTGAAGTTCAGGATTTTTTTCTCGAGCACAAGCTCCCATGCCAATAAAATGGCACCTTGCAGGTAACAAAGACAGAAGCACAGTGTTCTGCTTACTAGACAAAATCTTGACTAAATAGAGAGAGCTGAGAGAAGGTAAGAGACCTAAAGACTACAAAGAAGCAGTAGTAAATATGCTCTCAAAGGAAAACACACAGCTGTCTACCTGAAACCAGTGCCCAACTTACTATGCCTTTCCAAAGTGGCTCATGCATCTTTCTAAAGCTATTTCCTGTTTTCATTGTGCAGCCTGGCAAAGTTAAATTTCGGGTTAAATTAAACCATGTACACAGACTTTGCCATTTCAGTGCCTCTCACCCTCAGAGAAGGAGTCTTTTTACATTCCAGAAGTGCTAATTTTACATTAATGCTTCTAGTTTCTATGGATGTGCAAACACATAAAACCAGATAGTTTTAGTCCTTCCATTACAGTTTTTTTTATCTGGGTTGGAAAAAGTAGAAGGGAACTTCTGCTCTTACATGTAACACAAGAAAACTTGTCATCCATGAAACTGGGTCTTAGTAATTATTTTTTGTTTTGTCAGATTTGTCTAAGGAGATACACACACTGTCACAATTAAGGCATTTTGAAAGAGATGAAACATAAACCCATGGTTTTGGACAGACTCTGAGATTTGTAGACTCAGGAAATAGAGAAATAAGTGTTTGTCAGCTCTTCAGTCTGACTATGAAGTAGTGATGGAAGGTTCACAGTTGCCAGTGGCAGCTTTTAGACTTTCCAAGCTGCTTCCCTGAACCAGGACTAAGAGTACAACAGTTTCATCACACTTCAGTGACAAACGCATCATCAAACCAAAACTGTTGAACTAAGCTGAAGAGAGATAATTTCTCCAGAAAATCTGAATTATCACATTTTTCTCCTTCAAATGATTAAGCAAACTCTTTTAATAATCATACAAAGTTTTCATTTTTGTATTACCTGGTTGAATAATTCCAGTAACAACAGCGATATATTCCTCAGGTTTCTGATCAGTGGAAATCTCTCTGCTGCCTCCATCTAAGGTCAGTGTCTCATAAAGAATCCTTGAATTCTCCACCCCACAAAGCAGAATTACCACATTTTCTAGAGGTTTTAGAACTTGTTCCAGAAAATAACATCTCTCTTGATTCAGGCAGTTAAGAAGTCCACACGAGAGTATCAGGAGTTTACATTTATAAGAGGGTAAACAGAATAGCTCCTGGTGCTTGAAAGTTGAAGTCTCTAGATTGTAGAGTAAGATTCCTCCTTCACTCACTATGTGTCCAAAAAGAAATTTTAAATACAGTGCCCACTCTTCTGCTTCTTGTCCATATATCACAAGGACATCCTTCGTATCTTCTAGAAAGAAGAAAACATTTTTAGAAAATAAATTCAAATGCGTTTTGAATTCACTATAAATATCAGAAGACATACTGCTAGTTTCCCCCCTATTAAAAACTTGAGGTACTGAAGAAATCACCTTCAGCAGAAATCACCTTAAAATGACAATCATCTCCTTATTTTTAAAACCGAGGCAGAAAGATTGTCCACAGAAATACTGGAAAAAATAGCTCAGAATATTACATGTTTAGAATAGCTTCAACTAGTATTTCAGAATACATACTGAAATTGCAATGCAGGAAGCAGAGCACATTCACACATTCTGCACACTCCTAGAGTCTTGACAACAGGCGATACTATTAAAAATTAAACACTTAGCTTTTAATGGCAGAAGTAAAGAAAAGTTTTTTAAAGGCTCGACTGCATTTCTTTTCAACTATATTGATTTTTATATATGAGAAAGAAAGCTTTATTTATGTAAGAAAAGTGAGTGAAATACAGTCTTAAGCTCTGCCAGGGGAGGTTTAGGTTGGATATTAGGAAGAAATTTTTTACAGAGAGAGTAATCAGGCATTGGAATGGGCTGCCCAGAGAGGCGGTGGACTCATCATCCCTGGAGGTTTTTAAGATGAGACTGGATGTGGCACTTAGTACCATTGTCTAGTAACCACAGCATTGTTGGATAAAGGGTTGGACTTGATGATCTTGGAGGTCTTTTCCAACCCAGTGGATTCCATGATTCTATATCTAACACCACACTTGATGGAAGAAAGGCTCTGCAATACACATCTCATAAAGCCTTAATTTAACAGGGTTTCCATATTTAGTTTGTCTTTTCTATCTATATACAGAGGGAAGAGTCTTACTGCTGAGGAGAGACTCATACGAGCAAGGTTTTCCATACTGCAGTTTGGTGCAATGTTTATTGAAGCAAGCAGCTAATGCTATCAAGTTGCCTGTGGGAAATCAAATGTGGGTTTCTCTTGAACTACAAGCATGCTTTTTTTTTTCCCCCTGCCATTGATCTGCCTTCTATATTAAGAGTTGACTTCAATATTAAGCAGGAATGTAAGGCCTGCAACTTCCCCTAAATTGTATTAAAAGGTGAAATATCACTATTTTGAAATGCTTGCCTAACTGGAAGTGTGGAGTCAAAGTTTACCCTGTGAATAGCTATGATGTCCTCTATCAAAAATCTACTCCATGTACCTGTAGCTTTTCCCTATTGCATATTGGTTTTGCCTTCACAAATTTTAGTAATATATATGCTTGAAGGCAGTTTACTTGAAAATTAAAGCCCACCAAAACTCTGCTTTCAGAACAGTATTATTTTAGTCTGAAACAAAAACAGTCTAGCTTTAATGCAACACTAACCAATACTGAATACACAGTAACAATGCATAACTTTCAACTGGATTTTTTCCCCTTCATTATTTCCATCTCTTACTGAATAATTCTTTGAAGTTACTGCACTTGGAATATAATGTAAGTTGAGATTAATTTTGTTCCCTTGAAAGTTAATGTAATAGAAACTATCATATCCTGACAAAATTAAGCTGTGCTTCAACTGCTCCTACTTGGAACCTGTCTCAAAGGTAGAAATAAAAGGTATTATTACTCGAGCAATGAGAAACAGCAAGAGAATTTCTGCAGTCATCCATAACCTGAAAGGGTTCTTCTGACAAGCAAAACTATTCTGTAGTTATTGGTGTGTGGTTGCCCATGAAAGCACAACTCTTGAAACATGTCATCTGAAAGCCTCTTTGAAAAAACCTGCTGAATCTTATGAGAACCAAGTGAGACGGGAACATCTTTTCAGACTACAGTGGCCTAGAAGGAATCAAGAAATTGCATATATAAAACAAAAACCCATGTCTTTTGTGGCAGCAATTATAAGATACAGTATGTAGTAGAGGCATTTAAAAAAAAGGCAAGTACATTAGAGAATCAAAGGAAATCTCGAGAACTCTGCAATGCACCAAACACATCCAGAAGGCAAAAGAAACAAATCAAATATTGGGGGTCAGTACCTACTCTTAAACAGGTACCTCAGTTTATGAATCTTGCAATCTTTTAAAAGATAGTTTCTGTGTGCTTAGAAGTAAGCAAGAAGTACTTGTTAACACTCATCTTTGAGAATAACACTGCACAGTTGTCGGCTTATTCGCTGCCTTTTAAAGGCCTTGTAGGTTTGTAAAGGTTTGTAGATGATATGCTTTACTTCTAGATATCTGCATTTTACTACAGTTTTTTCTAGAAACTCGGTATTAACGTACTTTGTTTGACATAAATAAGGTTGATTTCAATTAGGGTTTAAAAACTGGCTCTGCAGCCCCACTGCCTTAGGATGCTTTGGTGAAAAAAAAAAAAAAGTGACATTTGAAAACCAGTGTTTACCCAAGTTTTAACTGAAAGATGGATCACCATCTTTCTCAGGATCATCCAGAATATTTTCCAGTTAGGGTACTGGAGCGTAACAATATCCTTCCCTGTTGTTCACTCAGCTGCCCAGGAATTCCTGTGACCACATACCAAGCTTGCCACAGTCAACCATAACAAAAAAAAGTAATTCAAGTCTGTTTATGATCCTCACTTGAATCACACTAGCCTTTGATACCTGTGTGAAGAATTCTCTTTCATATTGTTCTCCACCACTATGCTGAGAAAGGAGAGGGTCAACTGCTAGAGAAAGCATAAAATGTGTCCCTTCTATTTCTTCCTATCACAGATGTCCTCACTTGGGGAAGGGAAGGTTGCTTCTCTTTTTTTTTTTTTTTTTTAATTAGCAGTCTTAAAAGGAAAGACATCTGAGAAAGAAGTGTATGAACTCCGTCGGTATATAATGAGTTACCGTCCATCAGCAAAAACTTGTTAAAATAAGTACAAAGGAGAAGTAGAAATACACAGAATAGAAGTTCTTGCTCACTTTCTCAAAATATACTGATGAAAAATTGGGGCAACATAAGTGACATGGAATGACATCCATTGCATTTTTAATTTTGTGATAGTAGACTACACTGTCCAGGATTACCATGAGTATCCTCTCATGCTAAAAACTTAACACAAAAAGAAGCAGTATTTTTTTTCCAGACAAGAAGTGCCAGATTAGAGCTACTTAAGAATTTACAAGTTGACTGCACTTATCTGATTAGACTTTTCTGCATCTCCAGATTCTAGTTTCATTGTCCAAATCAAATATCACCCAAAGGGAATGCATGACGTTCTCCCATGAGTTCCCCTTCCACAAATATCACCCAAAGGGAATGCATGACGTTCTCCCATGAGTTCCCCTTCCACAGAAACATGCCATCTTCACCTAGAGAGTCTTAAGTCCATGGTTTTTAAAACTACTAGGGTTTGGAAAATGTCTGTTTTTCCTCTGAGGCATCTCCTCCTCCCTTTCCTCCACATTTCTTTCACCCTGTAGGATAAAACTATGGGTATAATCATGAGAAACATACAGAGGCATAAAATAACCCAGACTCCCATCTTTGCTCAGAGATTTTCTTCTATTCTCAAGAAGATTCATTTCTATGTGAGCTGTATATAGGATGAGAATGGCAAGCACACATACTAGTTCAAATGAGACTTCAGAAACTAAAGACCTTTACTCTCTTGGCCCCTTTGCAATCTTTTCATAGAGACTCAGCCATTCATCTCTTCACATTGCTTGCCCTGATCACTTACAGTGATATAATTAGGAACTGTGGAAAAAGTTTCACTAGCACTTCAAACAACCCCTGCAATATAACATTTGGAAACGAAGTGAGAACGTTTAATTCAGCACTAATCAATGGCCTTAGCACAATGAATTGCCCCTCACCCATCCAGGAGGTGTCGATTTTCCCAGTCAGCACACCTCACACACATCCAGTAAATGTGTCTCAAAATGCAACTCTAGCTCTTGGTTGCTGGAATTCTGAAAGGCAAATCCCCTGAAGCAAGCCAAAATGCATTCATCGCAGGAAGGACAGCAGAAAGCACTTCAGAACCAGTTGCAGATAATGGAAAATGTTTTCAAGGCAGTCACGTTGCTTCTGAGATATTTCAGTAATGGAAATGAAAATTATAAAAGCCACCGGTAAACTTTACAGTGAGATCAGAAAGTAGCAAAATTGATGCAGCGCTGTGGCACACCTGTTTCAATTAAAGCAATTACCCTAAAACACAGGACATTCCTGCCACCACTGTATCAGCCAGTAGAGTGGCTGCACTTCTATTTTCAGAGGCCTATCTAACTAGCATGAAATAAGAACATTTTCACTGTTTATGTACTTTCTGTTGCTAATTGCTAGGTTGTATGTGAAAACAAACACTTGCTCTATCTGTATAAAATCAACCCTGACATCTTCATCCTTCTAACTAAGCTCAGTAAGGTCTGGGCTGGGTAAAATGAGGTTCTACAGAGAGGAACAACTTTTCTACAAATGGGAACAGAGCAAAATAAGTTCCTGGGGTATCTTTGACTGCACGGACCTGGCACAGGTAGACTAGAAAGATACCTGACTATCAAACCTTACAAAGCTAACATTATGCCCAAAAAGCTGTTCCTCTTTAAGTGATATGGCCTTATTCCCTTGTTTAGGCTTCTCTCTCTGACCTGTCCTATGAATACACACAGCTGAATATCTAAAGATGGGCAGGTTCATTTCTACTGAACATGACTAAACACAAACATGGGATATAGAAGTCAGAACTCAGTTCTCTATTTCAAGGTATATCTCCTCCTTTATCACAATTACCATGACGCAAAATTTCACGTCATTGCAGTCACTTCCTTATACCTTTGGTAGATTTTAGCAGAAAACAACCGAGTAATTCAGAAAAGGTTTAGACATGAACGAATTACGAAGTGAAAAATACATCATAATGACAATATAAAGAGCTGAGTAATATACTATTTTTTTACGATTGCTGTGGAATAAGTCTTTAAGGTCACACAGAAACCTGAGCAAGCTGTATGAAGTTTGTATTAACAGATGCTATTGCGACTAGAAACAACCATCCCCCGAAGCTTTCCCTTAAACTATCACTACAACTATAGTTTCGTAAACAGGGAACAGTTAAAGAAAAAATTAATTTCAAAATGTCAGTGTTAGGGTAAACCAAAGTGCCCTCTTGTTTATTTTATTTTTTATTAATTGCCAGTGTTTCTCTTATCAGGATCTCTCTAGATGTCCCCATCCTGACTTAGCCCAGGCAGTTCTGGATTTATGATCACAACTCCACTCATTTAAATTCAATGTCTTTGCTTTTTCTTTTGCCTTCTGTTGCCTTTTTTTCTCTGTCACCTTTGATTCCATTGTTAGTTCAGTTTCTCACAAATTCTTATCTCTAATTCCTTTGACATAAGAAACAGAGAATAGAAAACATGTTCTGCAGGCATTAATTAGTGCTAGGGGAAACAGTCTTCTGAAATTCATTACATGTACCTCTATCACAAGAGAACATATCTCAGAAAATAGTGCATACACAACAAAACAAAAAGCACTTATTTTGCAAGCAATAACATTTTGGGTAAGTTGCTGTGATTCCAACTGCTGTGATCTGGGAAGGTCATGCTGTAGCACTGATGTATAAAAACAAGAAAAGTGTCTTACACATTAAGAAGTGTAATTTGTACACCAGGGACTTGGCAGAGACTGATCATCAAACAATGTTTATCAATAAATATCA